CAGAAACCAGAGGGTCTCTGCGCGCGTGCAGAGTGCCAACTGCCCTCTTCCCGATGTTTAGCAAGGGACTGAAGGCAGGGTCGCGGAGAAGTCTTAAGAGACACCATTTGTGATACATTTGTACGAGAAGCTACGTTGGTTTACCTGTGTTGGCCCTCCTCGGCCCCCCAGTGCGAGCACGTTGATGTGCAAGCGCGCCACGTGGCCCCTGTGCCTCTGGCTACTCCAGGGGGATCTGCCCTCTTTGGTTCATCATTCTGGGTGTTGTGCTCATTGGAAAAAGAGTGTCTCTGCCATGTACAGAGTATCTCTAGCTCCCCATCTTATATGTGTATATATTTGCCTGGGGAGGGAGATTTTTTACAATAGAAAGAAAAGCCATGGTTCTGTTTATTATGCAAGGCTAATTTTACCCATTTATAAATGTGCTTGTGAAGGATTGCACTGCAGAAAGATGTTCTCCCAACAGGCTTACTTGAGTTATTGAATTAACTCTTTTTGGTATAATGTAGCAAAGCATAAACTGATTGAATGGGTTGGGTTCATGCAAATGATAAACCACAAAAAACAAGCCACTGTTAAAATTAAGCTTTGCATGTCATATGCATATAGTTACTAAGTTTGTAACTTGGCTGAGTGTTAGACTAGGGGTTACTTAAAATAAAATCTCATTTCCTGACTGGCTGTACTTGTTAGGCTGTTTTGTGTTGGGCATTGTGTGGCAAAGCCTTAAGCTAGGTCCAATGTAGCCAGTGGTCACTGTAGTTATTTACAGTCTATCAGTACTGGAAGGTAACATGATGCTTTCTAGATACAAATACTTGTACTGTGCTGTAAATATCTAGTTCAAAACATGTGTTTGGATGCTTGTATTAGAATCTTATTTTTATCGTCTTAGTGTTTTTCCTAATAATTTGATTAAGTTACTTATGCAAAAAGTAATAAAGTAGTTTGTTCTTTAGGTATGAATGACACCCATTAAATGTTTGTTTGTGTGTGTGGAGAGACAGGTATACCCACACCGAAATTTACCATGAATCCTTGTCCATAAAAAGCTTAGGAACTCAGAAATTAACAGTTCTCTTCATGTGCTGATTTAGGCAAACTAAAAGCTGTTACTACAATTGGCTGTTATTCCGAAGATTTTCCTCTTCAGTAAAAATGTTGCTTAAATTACAGATCTAATAGAAGATTGCATGAAAAGTAGGGCCAAATAAGAATTCAAAGGTAAGTAGAATGAACTAATACTTATATCCTTAAAAATTCAATAGACAGACTTCAAAAAGGATTTCAGCTTTGTGTACAGTACTGTAATGCTTCCTAATTTATCTTGGAGAGTGGGGACCACATTGCATGCCCCTTCATGCACGCAGTACTATTTCTTCTGCAGTAAGACTGGCTTTGAAGAATGGTATATAAATTTTAATAATAGCATGAATAAAATAGCAAGTAGTAAGTTTTAATTTCTCTCTCTCTCTCTCTCTTTTTTTTTTTTTAACCATACAGGCTCAATCCTGTCTGCTCTTAAACAAGTTCTTCTGAATTCTTTGGGGCTTACTGCCAGGTAAATGGGTAGGGAATTGCAATCTAAAGTATGTATTTTCCACACAAGGTTGTATTATTTTATGGGAGATATATATACGAGAGTGCTGCCCCACCTTCAACATTTATTAATATAAAAGCTGTTTGAAGTAAAGTGAAACCAAATTTTAAGTCACCGAGGGCAGGAATGTCTGCTATTCATTATTGTCCAAAAACATGAAAGGAGTAATGGAGTAAGGTCACTTGCACAATTTCAGTATAACATTGATTCCTTATATATAAAATAATTGATTTAATTTCAGAGATCATATATTCTCTATTGATAATGGATATATTATCATGTAAGTGTCAAAGTATTTCATTCTTTTAGAAACATCACCTGAGTTTTTTCCCTTTTTCAGTCACTGCTTGCAACTGTGTTTTAACCTGGCACAAGTTAAAATATTTGGAAAGTAAACTAATAACCTGTATATTTCATAATTTTTCAGGATGAAAATTTTGTCAGACATAAATTTAGTTTGTGATACTTTATCCATCGCTTATTTCCTTGTAGAGAAGGATGAATTAAACATATAACTATTTTCCCAGACCACAGCACTGTACATATTAATGCAGATAAAAAGTATTTGCTACTGTGCTGCACCAAAGATCAAAAACGTGGAAGGATTGCCTAAACAATGACTAACTGGGTATAACACAGTGACTTCCGCGTATGATGGAGCAGAAGACAAAATATTTTGCCGTGTGTGTCTCCACACCGTCACATGTTCCACCCCCCTTTTTTTTTTTCCTTGATTTTTCATGGTGGTCACCCTGAAGTTGATATAACCTCTAATTTGATGTGTCTATTACTTATAGGGGACATACAGAAATTAAAACCAAGCTAGTCCTTCCCTAAAGGTTCATAGTGCAACAGGCTATGAAGGGAAAAAGAATGGAAAGAGAAGAAAAAACAAATTACATATCGATTCTTATTGAAAAGTTAGGTGATTGATTATCCTAGTAATTGGCTGAAATGACTATAAAAAAGGATAGAGCTTGGGAGAAAGCTAGGTGATATATTAGGCTATGAATCTCTGGGAACATTTTTTGTTGGCTCTCCAGGGTATCCACCCCAATATGTTTAGGTGCACATTTTTCCAGGGGGCAGAATTATCCATATGTGTGAGAAGGATGTGTCCAAGGTTGTCAGGGAAAAAATAATTGTGAAACAGAAAATGATTCCAGTCCATACAGCAGAACCATAAGCGAAGATTGACACAAAGTCTTAGTACCTTTCCTGCTAAACCCTGACTTGACTTAGCATGTTGTGTTAGCCCAGCCATTGTGTTATGTATTGCAAAGCAGGCTTAGCATGATAAGCTAACCCTGCCTGTGTGCAACTGTAGCCAAGAAAAGATAGTTATGAAGAATATGAGTTCTGATGTTGAACAAATGTCTTCCATCATGTAACAAAAAATAAGCTGCTCTGGTGCACAAATACTTATGCACTTTTTTTTTTTAATCCCACCTTTATTATTTTTATAAATAACTCAAGCCGGTGAACATAAGTAATACTCCATCCTCCTCCTCTGTTCTGCACAACAACCCTGTGAGGTGGACTGGGCTGAGAGAGAGGGACTGGCCCTAAGATGCTAAGTTGTAATCTTAGAGTAAGAGTTTAATATATGTTTTACTTATATCTGCTGTAAAAGAAGTCAGAAGTCATTCTTTTTTGTGTTTGTAGTTCTGCTCCTTTTCTTTATTTTTCTGCACTTCTGCTCTTCTTTCTCTTTATTCCTTCTATTTTTCTTGATTATTAGTTCTTGTTATTTTTTATCTTTCTGTTTTTTTTAATTTAATAAAGTTGTTATTTAAAAAAATGAAAGAACTTGACCAAACATGCACTGAGCAGGGAAGAAACAGGAAAGTGGATTGCTTTCCTTGGTAAAACTGCCTTCTAAATTAACATTTACAGAAGGCTTCACTCTGCTATTATTATATTGCTTTGCCAATATGAGATTCAATTTAATTTCTGTCTGTTGCACATTCATTAGAAACAGATAAGTCCTGCCACATCACGTGAAAAGAAACAGAGAAGGCAGAAGGAAAATTTTAAACAGATCAAAGTATATAGCCGGAGAAGTACAGAGAATGGAATTGATCAGAAACCAAACTGTTGGGGTGTACACATGCTGGATTTCATAGGCAGATGTGAAATGTTTCAATCTTTTTGTGTCAATAGGATGTTGCTTTTTGTAATGATAGATGTTCCGATCACCAGCACATCATAGTTGGAGAAGGTGAGAGAGGCTATGGATGAAACAGTATTTCGAAGTGATACGGTGCTTTCTGATATTCACCTCCACACTGCAAACAAAAGGCATTTCATGGTGAGACTGAATGCTGTTGGCCAGCCAGGTAATATAACAGCTAATGCCGACCATCAGGAATGGATGCTGTTGATTGAGAGAGAGTAAAAGTGGCTGAACTCACATAACTTGCTGTGCTGTAGTGTAGCTTCTTTGGGTTTGGCTTACTCATGTTGTGCAAACCCAACCAGTTCCAGTTTGCGACTGTGGTTTATGGTTTAGCGCCATGTGCAGGAGACAGGATGCAATATGGAAGAAGGGGAATGTAGCTGTGATGGGGAGGAGAAGCAAGGGTATGCAAGAGAGAAGAGAAACTGGAGAAATAGAAAGGAACTGGGAGGGGAACAGAATAGTAAAATGCATGCAAGGAAAAAAGGGACTGGCAAAGAGGAGGGAAGGGACAGTGGAGGGGCAGATAGGACGTTTATGTGGAAAGAAAGGGTCTTCTGAGGGAGGACAGCATGTGGGTGGGCTTGATGGAATGGGATGAACACATCTATGAGGCTATGGATGTGTGCCCAAAAGAGAAGACATTTCCCCGTCTCTGGTTTGAAATCCTCAGAATGTCCCTTGCTTGGAATGATTGCAGAATATAAGAGGACAAGAACAGAAGCAGTAGATGATAGAAGTGAAGAAACATGAATAATTCAATGCAGAGATTTTAAACCTTACATAAATAAGTAAGAATTCAGTTCCATGTAGTTTCCAGAACATTTTTTTTTTTTTAATCTGCGCTCAGTCGTTACCGACTCTGCAGTGACTGCTTGGAC